CGTGCCGTGATGCAGTTACGGCTTGTGCCCAACGAGTGTGCCGTGATGTAGTTACGGCTGTGCCACCGAGCGTGCCTGATGCGGTTACGGCTTGTGCCCACAGCGTGCCGTGATGTAGTTCGCTGTGGCCACCCGAGCGTGTGCCGTGATGCGGTTACGGCTTGTGCACCGCCCGATTGTGCCGTGATGTGGTTTACGGCTTGTGCCCCCCGAGCGTGCCGGGATGTGGTTACCGCTTGTGCCGCCCGAGCGTGCCGTGGTGTGGTTACGGCTTGTCCCGGCTGACTGTGTCGTGGTGTGGCTGCCGTCTGCTGAGCCGGCTGACTGTGCCGTGATGTGGCCGCCGTCTGCTGAGCCGGCTGACTGTGCCGCGATGTGGCCGCCGTCTGCTGAGCCGGCTGACTGTGCCGTGATGTGGCCGCCGTCTGCTGAGCCTGCTGACTGTGCCGTGATGTGGCTGCCACCTGCTGAGCCGGCCGTCTCCGTCCGGCCGTCAGGTGGTCTGAGCTGCGTCAACGCGTCGGGGCCGCTGGACGCGGCGCCACTCGTCTCCGGCCTGGCCGTGCTGCTCGGCCAGCTGCCGGACGCCGTTCACGGACCGCCTGCTGGCGCTCGCTGGTCAGGCGGCCGGCTCGCACGCAGGCCGCCGCGCCGCTGCCGGCTGACAGCCTGCGTGCTGCATGGCGCTGTTCGAGGCGCTGGTCGGGGCGCGCCGGTTGCCCGAGGCGTGAAGCTGCTTGCAGCTCTAACCGCTCCACGTGGACGGCCGACTGAGGGTGAAGTGCGCCGGCGCGCCGGTCGCGGCTGAGCAGCGGTGCTGAAGGACGGAGAGAAGCGATGCCGGTCAGGACGGACGGAGACCAGATGTACCGGTCGTGGACGGACGAAGACCAGGGTGTACCTGTTCGGGATGGACGGATATCAGGGTGTACCGTTCGGGATGGACGGATATCAGGTGTACCGTTCGAGATGGCGGATATCAGGTGTCCGTTCGGGATGGGCGGATATCAGGTGTAACCCTTCGGGATGGGCGGATATCAGGTTGTACCGTTCGGGATGGGCGGAGAGCAGATATATACCATTCGGGATTGATGGATATCAGGTGTACTGTTCAGGATGGGCGGATATCAGGTGTACCGTTACGGGATGGACGGGTATCAGGCGTACCGTTCGGGATGGGCGGAGGGCAGATGTACCATTCGGGATTGATGGATATCAGGTGTACTGTTCAGGATGGGCGAATATCAGGTGTACCGTTCGGGACGGACGGATATCAGGTGTACCGTTCGGGATGGACGGATATCAGGTGTACCGTTTGGGATGGGCGGAGAGCAGATGAACCATTCGGGATTGATGGATATCAGGCGTACTGTTCAGGATGGGCGGATATCAGGTGTACCGTTCGGGATGGACGGATATCAGGTGTACCGTTCGGGATGGGAGGATATCAGGTGTACCGTTCGGGATGGACGGATATCAGGTGTACCGTTCGGGATGGACGGATATCAGGTATACCGTTCGGGATGGGAGGATATCAGGTGTACCGTTCAGGATGGACGGATATCAGGTGTACCGTTCGGGATGGGCGGATATCAGGTGCACCGTTCGGGATGGACGGATATCAGGCGTACCGTTCGGGATGGATGGATATCAGGTGTACCGTTCGGGATGGACGGATATCAGGTGTACCGTTCGGGATGGACGGATATCAGGTGTACCGTTCGGGATGGACGGATATCAGGTGTACCGTTCGGGACGGACGGATATCAGGTGTACCGTTCGGGATGGGCGGAGAGCAGATGCACCATTCGGGATTGATGGATATCAGGTGTACTGTTCAGAATGGGCGGATATCAGGTGTACCGTTCGGGATGGACGGATATCAAGTGTACCGTTCGGGATGGGAGGATATCAGGTGTGCCGTTCGGGACGGACGGATATCAGGTGTGCCATTCGGGATTGATGGATATCAGGTGTACTGTTCAGGATGGGCGGATGTCAGGTGTACCGTTCGGGATGGACGGATATCAGATGTATCGTTCGGGATGGGCGGATATCAGGTGTACCGTTCGGGATGGACGGATACCGGATGTACCGTTCGGGATGGGCGGAGAGCAGATGTACCATTCGGGATTGATGGATACCAGGTGTATTGTTCGGGACGGAAGGAGGTCGGCGTGGCCGGCTCTTGTGGGACGAGACAGGCCTTGTCTTCTGGCGTTGATGGCGGACTGAGGCGGCGGTGTTTCGTGCTGTCCGTGCCAATCCCTATGATACGGACATCTGGTACGAGCAAAACCTGATGCGAGCTCCGTTTTTCCCTGTTGGCTGATCAAGGTAATAGTGACAGATCGGTATTGTGAGCATGTGATCTTCCGACTGTACCTCGAGCGATTACTGATATTGATCATGAAACATCGAGATGCATGTGCTGTATGGTTACATTACCCGACCGCCGTGGCTATTTCAACTTATTTGTCACGAATTACTCGATGGCGTGTTTGTTATTCCGGGTGACTGTCTCGGACACATCACTGCGCACGAATACACGTGTAATTATGCAAATATTGGGCTTCAAAGTGTTTCACCGCGATCCTACATCGCTTAATATGCAGTGGCAGTCCCACATTCTGCAGACGGCTCGCATTCTGCAGGTGGCAACACCGCGCGCGCAGCTCACCCATTAACGGCGCGTGCGCCAGGCGAGAACCTGGCCCGCCCTGTGCGGTTCAGTGCGCAGGCCAGCGTTGCCGTGTCTCGCCCTCGCCCCCTGGCCTGGGTAGCGTGCCGACGGGCCGGCGGCCGGCCGTCTGATCCGTGGACCCTGCATGTCGGTACACGACACCGCCGCCGCCGCCGTCGGCGTCGGCGGTGTCACGCCGCCGCCGGGTCAGCCGACCGGCAGGTTGTTGACACAGGCCCGACGCGCTAGACGGGAGGGGGGGGGGGGGGGGCGCGCCTGAGGCTGTGATTCGGCTCCCTGCACTGGGAATATGGCTGTAAGCGCGACCGTTGCCGGCTCAAGCGGTCTGATTCCTCAGTGACAGAGTCATGCGAACTTGACAAAATCAGCGCTCGGCAACTTGGTGTCGATTGAGTGTAAAATACATGCAGCTTGACCCGTTACCACGTTTTCCAGTTGTATGCTGTGTGGTCGTTTTGTATGCCGTAGTGGCGTCCCTTGACCTTTTACTTTCCGTTTCCGCTCTTTACCGTTCTGACTTAACGTTCTTAGTTCGATTAAACGAACCGTGCGACGTGAAACAGATCTCATTTGGCGAAGCGCTTGCTTGTTTTGCAACAAGTGCGCTTCTGAGCAACTCCGTGAAGGTCGTGCTTAGTGTACCTGCACCTGTCTGCATTTGGCACTGGTGATTCGAACAGCACGCTTGAGCAATAAAAAGAGCACCGTCTGCGAGGGATTGGAGGCTTACACGTCCATTTATGCGCACATCAGTCGTGGATTGACGTTATGCTGTCATGCTTGCTGTGATGTGAGGCTGCTCACTTTTCCATTTTCTCGATCTGTCAACGTTACACCTTTTCCCGTCTGTGTCCACCCCACGCGCGTGGGCGTTAAATGTTAGCTGTTACCGTCCGTGTATGCGTCGCGAAAGCTAAGGCCAGCGTTGCCAGCAGCCGTGCTCCACTCCAGACCTGGCGCACCAGGGTGCCACCTCCACGGCCGAGCGGGCGGCAGTCAGGGCGTCACAGAATGAACCCATCAAACCCTTCAGGAGCCAGGCGAGGAGTCGTAAACGGCAGGGCTCATGTTATGACAGCTCCTCCTGTGTTTATCTCGCACAAACAAACGACACCTCGGCCTTACAGCGAGGGTGACCAAGCGATCCCAGCCGAGCCAGGCGCCGTCGGCGGGCTGTGGAGTGGGCCGGGTTCGCACGCGACGCATGCGTCAGCGGCCTATGGATCTGAGCGGAAACGCGGCGGGTGAGGAGGTCATGTCGCCCGACCTCTGTTTATGTATTCGGGCGGCACATTCAATCCAGTCAGTCTGTGTAACATGACATGTTTCGCTCGTTCTTTGCAAACTTCGCGGTCGTCAGATTTCTGGTTCGTGTAAACGTGACCGTTTGGACGTGCCTTATGCATACAATGCCTGACCCTGATACACATGGTGCAGGCTGAATGTACTAGCTAAATTTAAACCTCGGTTCATTAACGTGACTTACGGGCAACTGTTGGCCCGTTGGCGTTGTGGAATGGTGCAATGCATTAGTCGGGCCATTTCACATTTCGTAGTTTGCGACCACGCGGTGCGCCGCCGGGAAAGCCACACGATTTGGAAATCTGGCAAATCCTTGTCCGGCTGATGACACATAGGGAGAACGGGAGCCAGCAAACCCCTTCGGATTTTGAAAGCGTCGAGTGTCTTGACTGGTCGTAAGCACGTGCCACCTCCGTGCCACCGCGTGGATTGGCAGTGTTGAAAAAGACGGCTAAAATTGTGCGGCGTTGAACTCTGCCCACACCAGCCGTCGCTCCTCCGACGCCACGCCGGCGACATTACTGCTGACCCTCTCAAATCCGGACGTAGTCGTCACCTCGGCTGCTGGCATCTCGCTCACAGTTCCTTGTGACTAGTGTTCGTGGCTGAGTCTGTCGCTGCGTCAGACACATTACGATGTCATACGAGTCACTGGCTCTCCATGAATACAACATCGATTGAGTCGGCCGGCGAGGGCCACGCGTTTCTGCCCGGCTGCCGGACTATGCGCGGCTTCCCGTGTTCCCTGATGACGTCCGTTCGGCTTCCTTCTCGGCGATACCTAGAAAGGGTCCGCTGTGCGGTTTCCGACGGGCCCGCACGTGGCCGCCCCGGCCGGATCACTTCATCGGGCGGCGATATTGTGGACTCGCATCACCGCGGGCCACCTCAACGCTAGTACGTCCCATTCCTTCACGACGCCTGGCGTCCGTGTCAACGAATCGCGTGTCTCTGAGCGGGATCTTTTACGCTTGTAACACAGATAGACGCAGCTGACCCGCTGCCTGACCGGTGTTCGGGCTTCCTTCTCCGTGACCGGATTGGAGGGGCCGGTGTGACGTCAGCTGACAGCGTGACAGGGGCGAGGTGTGACGAAGGGCCGGGTATGAGGGCTGATGAGATGTCGGCAGACTGGGCGTGGCTTTGCACGTGACGTCAGCAGACTTGGCGTGGCTTTGCACGTGACGTCGGCGGACTGGGCGTGGCTTTGCACGTGACGTCGGCGGACTGGAAGTGGCTTTGCACGTGGCGTCAGCGGACTGGGCGTGGCTTTGCACGTGACGTTAGCGGACTGGGCGTGGCTTTGCACGTGACGTCATCAGACTGGGCGTGGCTTTGCACGTGACGTTGGCGGACTGGGCGTGGCTTTGCACGTGACGTCAGCGGGCTGGAAGCGAGGGCAGATTTGTGGAGACATGTGCCTGAATCTAAGGATAGATCTAGAATCCCATGGAGTTCGATGTTAAAGGGAGTGTTCCACATTTGTGATAACACACTAACGTCATTCAAATCCTGCCATTCCATTGGACATGAGGCTATCGAGGCCAATAGCAGTATAATTGTCGAATTGTTAATGCCTGGCGTTCGTGAGCACGATTTCCAGATGCAACGGCCGTCAACTCGCTTTCAGTGAATTTTGTGCAAGGTACGATGACGTAATCAGACAACAAGGTATTGAAGAGCATATTCGCTAGGCAGAGAAATTGTGTTGTCTAGAGCAGCCTTTTCCATCAAAAAGTATACCAGTAGTTATACGTGAGCTTATTTCATCATATCCGGTGCTTGCTCCAATATCTTAAGCTGTGGAACATCCCCTTTAGCAAGCTGGGTTGGAGGAGCGTGGTGCGACGACGGTAGACTGGTCTGGGACAAGACATGACGTCATCAGACTGGACGGGGACGAAATATGGCGTCACCAGACTGGGTGGGGACGAAAGAGGATATCAGCAGACCGGGCGGGGATGAAATATGACGTCATCAGATTGGGCGGGAACGGGACATGACGTTAGTAACGTCAGCAGACTGGGCGGGGATGAGACATGACGTTATCAGACTGGGCGGGGACGGGTCATGACGGCATCAGACTGGGCGGGGACTAGACATGACGTTAGCAGACTAGGCGGGGACGAGACATGACGTGAGCAGACTGAACACGAGGAGACCGATGTGACCTCGCTGGGTTGCGTGGTGCGAGTTTTGGCTGGTATCCAAAATCCTCCTGTTTCAAACGATGCTCTGCTTCAGACAATCTGTGAACGCTGGCATTCCAAGACTTTTTCATTCGGGTACGGACATACAAGGCTAGATATTGGTACATGTGTGGAAGGTTCGTCCGCGCCTTCCATAACTTGAAATTATCCCTCGATGGGTACGGGTCGGTAAGAAAGCGTCTCTTCAAGGCAGGGCAGAATATATAAAACACGCTACTCGACAGCTAACCTAGGAAAATGTGATAGGGCGCCTTCTCGCCGCTCCGCGCAAGTCCCCGCAGTCCCAAAGCACTCAGTTATGCACGCGAAAGTTGGTGACGTTTCGCAACCTTGAGTCTTCCTTGCCGAATATTTTCGTGAGGGCGCGTTTGCACTTTCTGCTCGCGCGCACGATGCCTTTGTTGCGCGTCCAGCTGTGTTCCTTCTGGGGCTCGTAGGAGCCGCGCTTCAGTCGCAGCTGGTGCAGCATGCCGACCAGCAGCTCGTCGCAGTTGTGGTTCATGCCCACTGATATCTCGATGAACTTGGCGTTGTAGGAGCAGGCCAGCTCCATCCCGTCTGAAACGCAAGCGGAGCAGGTCAGCGGTTTCGAGGGTGAGGACGGGGGCGCCCATCCCCACAGATAGCCAGCAGCCTGCAAAAATGGCTGCGCTGCTGATATGGTACGCACAGCACGTGGTTTGCGTCGACATGTCTTAGCTCTTACTGGTCATGCCTTTACTTCAACACAATGGTCGGTGCCTCTTGTGTTTAGTTTGAAGGTGGAGGATTCGTCTGTTTCCTCCTATTGGTGGTGCGTGGCTGTGAGCTCACCTGAACCGAACTGCGCTAACCCCGTGACCCCGACCCGAACCCGGTGGGCGATGTGTAGGAAGAACGTGGAATGTCACATATATCCCATCTCGCGTATCAAATATCCCGCCGATTCCAATAGCTTTTGTAAACCTGTATTTCGCTGTGGTATTTGTGTCAAGGCATCGATCCCTAACGTGACCTGTCAGCCTAACATATCGCAAGCTTCACGTGCCCTCCCCGTGATAAACTAGCCCTGGGATGCAGCCAGGGAGAGGCCTGGTTGGGGAGCGGGCAGAGCCCCTCCTCAGACCCGAATTTTTAATTTTCATCATAACGGACTTCCGCAAGTAAAAATCGGCGTGATGAGCTCTCACTGAACTCCGGACCCCCCCCCCCCCCCCCTCCTCCTTCCTGGCTGCGCTCCTGCATGAACCCATGCCTTCTATTAAGCCAGTACCGAGAACGTTCAAATATGATATCGAAATGCATCCCTGGAGCGTAGCTCATCAATAAGACGTGTCGTCCGCGATGCCATCAGTTGATGCGGGACCGTCAGCAAAACAGCCCCCGGCGTGAATCACGTGACCGCTCGCGAAGCGCACGCTCTTCGTGCGGCTTGTTTGTCGGGAGACGATCCCGCCTGGGTCGCATGATGGATGACATGATAGGGCGCCATGCGTGCTATTATTGAAGATCAGCGCGAGGTCGTGCCCCATGCAACAAGCTCTGCTTAATGGTGCCTCGGATAGGCGGCCGTTTTGGGCCACGTTCGATCGAATTTCCCACCGAGTGGATGGAGGCACGCGACGCGCTTCTGGTCGACATACGAGCCAGTTGCTTGTCAAAGTAATGACGGGTCACGAAAGCGACCAGCACAGCAGTACATTTACTGTGGGGCATCGTAAACGATTCCATTTCTGCAGGAGGCGGTCGGATACCCCTTGCTTTAGCGACCGCCCGTCCAGCAGTAGTCGACTTCGCGCTAGGTTTCGTCACCAACGCGGTGGCAATGAACGCCGATGGCTAGGCTGGCGGGTAGGCACAATAAAGTCATTACCGGGGCCGACTTTACCACCCACCATTAGTGGGCACTCGACCCCATGGTGTGGCACCCGCCGCCGCCAGCGTGACGCCCCCTCCCCCTCCCCCCTCCCCAGCGAGTCATAAACCCCTGGCGGCCCTGCCGGCAGGTGGGAGGGGCGGCCGCCCGGGTCATATCTCACGGGCCGCGCCACAGGCCCTGGCGGCCCGCCGACCCGGCGCTGACCCCGGCCCCTGGCCGATGACCTCAGCGGCGAACGCGCCGGCCCCGGCGGCGCCTGTCGCCGCACCGGCTAAATCCGTCAAGTGTTTACCGGGCCGTCCGCGGGGGGCGAGGCCACGGCGCGAGCGCCCCGCCGCCGGCGCTTTGAAGCCGGGTCACGGCGCATTTTCGGCCGGCGGCGCCTCGCGTCGACCCCTGCCCGGCGTCGCCGCCTGCCCCGCCGGCCGTGCCAACTGCCCAGCGGGCATGCGCGCCGACGACACCGCACGGCGTCGGACGGGACGGCAGCAGTGGCCGCGCCCCTGGAGCGCCACATGGCTACGGGATGAAAGCGCGCGGCCCGGCGCGCGGCTCCAGTGACGTAACAGGGGTCCTTAGAAACGTCGCCAATGCAAACTCGTTCCAGTTTAAAGCGCGGGAGGCGATGACGGAACAAACGGCGGCATGCTGGCTCGTTGAGAAGGCGTGGTGTTTGTCTGTGCGGCTCTAGATGATCTCTTTCTTCGTCATCACTCGTATTTGCATGAGTTTGGCCAGAAGTTGGCGTACCGGGATTCAGTCATCCAGTCTGCTACGCTATAAGTAGCATCAATGACATCCTGCTTTCCTGCCACCTCAGTGGTCCGAACAGCCGCAAAACTTTGCGGCGTCCTTCAACTTGGTCTGAGCTCAGAAGTTCACAACAATCTGTCCCAGTTTGCCTCACGCTGGAAGGCTGGGCTCCTAACTTTGCGTGCGGGGCATTGTATATACAGGAGTCGTGCTGTTCCGCTGAAAAGACACTGGCAGAGCAGACTGGCAAATGGCGCCTGTTTCCCAACGGGACTACCGCCCTCCACACATCGCCAGTGCGCTGTAGTAAACTTGCTTAGGCCACCGTTGCGTCGAGGCTGACAGGCCCCGGGTGGCACGCGAGCCGGTTAGAGTTGGGCTCCCAACTCTCACCGGCCCAGGCCACCCCAACCGCTGACCGCTGGCTGATCGGAGCATTGTTCGCCTACGATTGGCAATTCAACGATTGTAAAGACAAAAGAAATGCTGGACATGCCAGTGATTTTTCGGTGCCAAAGAAATGTACGAGCCAAAAACGGATGGCTTCTTGTGAGCATGTTTCTTTTAGCGTTAAAACTACGACCATTGGTTAGTTGAAGTGCATTCTTTACATTCCGATCATGTCGCATATGTCGTGGATCCCGCCAACCCGACATACAAAACCCGTGGCCAGATGCTTAAGTTCTGAAACCAGAAGGCTTCGTTTAGGACCCATGCAAAAACATAACATAAAATCGCAATTGACTGACACCACATAGCCCTCAACTGAACTGCTTTCATGCTTACCTTCAATTCATGGCTAGCCTATCTGCACCACGGGACCTGACCACTGGTGAAATGATTCCATGAGTCCAACTGCCTCGCTCCTCCGATCCAAGCTGACCAAACTCCAGGACTCCGCTGACCTGGTCCTACGACCTCGTCTAACGTAGAATGGTAGCCTGAGCTGGCCTGGGCCTACGACCTTGTCTAACGTGGCATGATAGCCTGAGCTGAGCTGGTCCTACGACCCCGGCTACCGCAGCATGATAACCTGAGCTGACCTGGTCTTACAACCTCGTTTAACGTGGCATGATAACGTGAGCTGACCTGGTCCTACGACCCTGGCTAACGTAGCATGACAACCTGAGCGGACCCGGTCCGTTGACCTCAGCAGACCCGACCTTGTGAACCCCAGCCGACCTCACCTGATGACTCCAGCTAACTTATCCGTATGATACCAGCTAAGTACCCTATGACCCAAGGTAACGCCACCTTATGACCTAGGCCGATCTCATCCTGTGAGCCTACCTAACCTTGTCCCGCGGCACCAGCCCCCTGTGAACCCGGCTAATCCCGCCTTTTATTTAACTCCTGCTCCCCCATATTGACAACTCAGCCAATCTGACCTCAGACCTCAGCTGACCTGACCCCATGGCCTCGGATGACCTGCTCAGGTAACTTCAACTGACCTGACCGTGACCCCAGCTGACCTGAACTCATAACCCACCCCATCTGACCCCACGATCCCAGCTGACCTCACCCTACAACCTCAAGTGACCTGACCTTGTGACCCCAGCTGACCTGACTCGTCGACGGCCCGGCTGCGGACGACGTCGATCTTGTTTCCGACGAGCACAAGGCAGCGATTGCGCAGCAGGTCGAGCGCCTGCAGCCGCGACAGCTCGTCCTCGGCCCGCTCAAAGCTCGCCTTGTCGATCACCGAGTACATGAGGATCAGCGCGTCCGGCGGGTGGGTAGTGGTGACCTCCGTCTGCGGAGCGGCGTCCGGTCACAGGAAATCATACACTGTCCACCAAGGCATCACACACCATCAGGTCATGACCATGACCTGTGCCTCGTAGTCACGGTTCACGGACCGTAGGAGGCCCAATCAAGGCTCACGAAAGGTCAGTTCACAGCTTCAGGAAGGTCAAGTCACGGCCAGCGGAAGGTCAAGCCACGCTCACACAACATCAGGTCACAGGTTACGAGAGATTGGGTCACCGCTCATGAAATTTCACGGTCCACAACAGGCCACGAATTGCGGAAGATCAAAGGCAGACCCAGTGGCCTAGCCAAGGAGGGACTATGTCCTGAGACCCTGACCTGGACTATTGACCATTTTGGGACCATGTATTCCGCCCACTCGGCCCCCCCGCCACTCGGCCCTCCAAACAGGACCCCGAGCCAAAAAGATTCCCGGAATAAAAAGTGGTGTATAAAATAGCGAATAGTGTTAAAAAATAGCGAACATAGTGAATAAAGAATAGTGAATAAAAAATAGTAAAAAATAGTCGCCCCGAAGTGACTTAGGGAGCACGTTGGCTGAAAGCGTTCGCCATGATCCGATTTTGCACCCTGCTGGGCAAAACCCTGGTCACGCCCTCGAACAAATCTCGTCAGCTTGGATCGGCATTTACGAAGCAAAGGTCGGGTTGACTGCACGTAACGACTACACGTAAATTCAAAACTAAACCGCTGACATTTGCCGAACACTACAGGTGCAGAAGGGAACCAATTAATAGCTGCCGTTCGAAACGCTCAGTACCACTGTTCACGAATGGGATGCGTGTTCTGGTTTCATGTCTCATGAGTTAGGATGTACACAACTTTTCGGGTAATTAACTCTCCGGCTGTCGTTAGGTGTTATGGAGTCCCGGGAAACTCTGGACGATGTCCGGCCTTTAGACTTGTCCGCGACACAGCCCAAGTTCGCTGCTTGGAGTTATTGGAGTTTGAACAAGGGTCTTGTGACTGCGAGTTCCGTGCCTTCCGGCTGAACTAGTCGGGAAGGACTTCATCCGCCAAAACAAAGCGTAAGGAGAGTAAAAGAGTGTAATAAATGAGCAAACCGGGAAGGACTTCCCTCCCAGGTGGATCAGTTGGTAAAGTACTGAACATACAATCAAAGACCCCAGTTTGAACCACAGTAATGTCAAGAAGAGACTTCAGGCTGTGATGCGTCCGTGGCTGAAAGCCAAAAAAACAAAAACAAAAAAAACATCTAGTCCCTCTCAGGACTCCATGCAACATGACGCCGGCCGGGAAGGCAGTTGGCTAAGGCCCTGTGTACATACACACCAAATGAGACAGATACCCCGAACAGATAGCCCATCCGTGATAACAAAACCTGATCTCATCGTTTCCGTAAAACCATACCACTGTTCAGTGGCTCGCCTTCAGCAGCGGACGCCCTCCGCCGACGCCGCCGGCGTGCCGGGCATTCGTACCTTGGGGTTGGTGATGCTGATGAACCTCAGCTCGGACTCCTCCCCGTCCAGCTCGATGCTGACTGTCTGTTCGCCGGCGGCGCCGTCTGCAAACAAGTCGCACCGGTCAACCTTGTCAGCTCAATATCCTGGAAGCGCTACTAGATCACGACCACATATCAATGCTAGACGGACAAATGAATCAAACCTTTAGGACCATCTCGTTGGGACAACACCTCCAACGGATTCCATCGACAAGGAACATGACGGTGACGAATGCCCGGGAAATAGATCTGAGTTCGTGAAATTTGGTTGTTTGCTTTGTTATATTGCATTTCAAAGGTCTCAGCATGTGGCATGAATGATGTATTTCGTATTGCTTCAGCTTGATCTGCACCAAGTCCATATGACTGTAGCATGATTTATGCCAAAGATATTCGTACCACTATTAAATGAGAAGTTTATTGCAGTTTACATGCTCGTGATTATATTATGGTTGTAAGTGTGTCAACTGACAACATGAGTCGAAGACCTCTGTATTGTTTTTGGGAATGGGTAATACTGATCGCTAAATAATGATCGTTAATCGGAACGTTAAATAATGAATAACATACTTGAATGCGGCACAGGTCTCTCGGCTTATTGCTTTTTAACCTAACAGACGATGTCAAACGTAGCTTTCGACAGATTAAAAACTTAATCCAAGGCCGCTCAGACTGCTGAAAACACCGTGTTTTTTAACGATACATATACATAAATGCATATGTATGTGGGGGTTTATAATATACATATGCATATATGCGGGGATGTATATACATATATACATGTATAATATATATATATATATATATATATATATATATATATACATCGCATATACACCAAACATGGTTGGGCGCTGAGCCCATAAGGTCGACCTCACCTACCCCCAAAAGCTGATTTACCAACGGATTGAGACCACTTAAAGTTGCGTCCCCAGTGTAAAAACAAAACAAACTTTCTAAAATATCTAGCCAGATTTGGAATTGTTTTCCTACGAAGAAATGACTTCCCTTGGCCTATTCCAGGACAAATCACTTTGATAAAATCACACCCAGGTATTGTCATGTCAAATATATGTACCCTGATATATGTACAAATATATGCATGTCAATCTTGTCAAATATATGTACCCTGACCAAGGAGCTGGCACTGAATTGGCCACTGGTTTTGAATTGAGCGGCAGGATTTTGCAGGAGGCCTTCCACGTAAAGTGGGGGCCTCCTAACAGTTGGTCTGCTAGACAGTGCCGTTTTCAAGGGGTAGGGGCACCGAGGGCATGTGCCCTCTTATTCATTTGTTACATGCATCGCCAAGTAAAAAGATATCAACAATTAGAAATAACCAGAATAGCGGTCTTCCGATTTACCCGCAAAGGGTTCGGCTACGCTAAAGCAGAAATGCTGTTGCGGAAAAGGGTCTTTTGATATCTAGATGGGCTTCCTGATCCTTATAGGGGTCTCCTAATACCTCGAGGAGCCTCCTAATGCCTCGAGGGGCCTCGGATACCTAGAGAGGCCTCCTGGTACCTAGAGGGCCCTCCTGATGTATATAGGGGCCTCCTGATAGCTGGAGGAGTCTCCTGGTGCCTAGAACGGTCTCCTGATATCTATAGGGGTCCCTTAGTTCGTAACGGGCGCCTTCAGAGTCAGCAAAGTGGCCTCCTTAACGTAACATTGGGCCTACTTATCTAAAGCATGGACTCCATCATTTGTAACAGAGGCCTCATGATCCAGAAAATGGGTCTCTTGCGGTAGAAAAGGGTCTTTTGAGCCCGATTTCTCACTCAAGCTCAGTTAAGTGGGCCTCCTTTATCTGAATTTGGTTAATCTATCTCGGAAGACGATAAACAACGAAACCACTAACATTTTTAACAACCAGCTATATATGACTGACAGTTTACGGAAACAGCTTCCACATCAGCACTTGCTAGGCCTAGCTTGCTACCAAGACCCGAACATCCACCACCCTTGCAGTACAGTTTCTGTTCAACGGACAATTCTTGTCGAATCATTTTCAACGCCATGCATGTGATGTTGAGACGCGGCCGCCTCTATTCCGCACGGTCCCTGTCACCAGCTGACAATCAAGCATCAGCCATATTACATGAAGAACAAAACTGCTGGGACGTGGATCCCTATAGGTACGTACCATCCATTGATCCCAGTGCCGACGCGTTATACAAGCCGGGCTACACGAGGGGTGACCTCATCAGTACGGATAACCTAAATCCTTAGATTGTTTCGTGGCAGCAAGTGGTTTGCATCAAGTCAATTGGGTCAGTTGACTCGATCAAGATCTCTCTCGGTTTTTGAGGCAGGACGTTGCCATGACAATATTACTAGAAGGTATATCACGCGAGTAGTACGCTGAGCTAGTGAGCGTGACATTACAAACCATCGTAGGTGGTGAAGCCGTCAAGCCGCAGCCGTTATGCCGTGTCTGGCTGATGGCAAGCCATACGCATGGCTCTACACACAGGTGATATATATATATATATATATATATATATATATATATATGTGCCAAATATTTGTATATATATATATATATATAGGTGTGCCAAATATTTGTATATATATATATATATATATATATATATATATATATATATAACGGCGAGACGTCCGTTCAGTCCAGCGCCATCGAGTCTGCCCCGCGTGGGTGCCGGTGGATTTCCCGCGGACGTTTGGCGCCGGTCAGCGCCGCTAACCGGGCTAAACACGTGGTGCCTGATACAGACGTGGCTTTGGCGCCAGCTGCTGTGGCCGACCGCGGGTTACTGTGGATACCCCTGCCGTGTCGGTCAGCAGAATGAACCAGGCGTTGGTCCATAATCCCCTAGTGACGCATTAGTGCGGTTTAAGTTCACGCAAGCAGGTGCCATTGGCAGCCATTAGTGCGGTTCAAGTTCACGCAAGCAGGTGCCATTGGCAGCCATTAGTGCGGTTCAAGTTCACGCAAGCAGGTGCCATTGGCAGCCATTAGTGCGGTTCAAGTTCACGCAAGCAGGTGGCATTGGCAGCGCGTTAAAGTTTCGTTGTTGGAAGTCAAAATCAGCTACGACATGGGGTGTTATGTAAGCAGTTAGATATCAATGCACAAGGTCCATGTATTAATTTGCACAAAATATCGCACAGCATACACTCATGTGCTCGTCTTTCATATTTGGGAGAACCCGGCTCGACTCCATCTCTTGCATGATCGCTGAAGTTGCCAGCACCTCATACCGAAATCAAGGCGCCAGACTGTGGAACGATTTTGTGTACAACTGTGGACCGCGACTACAAAAATGCGTATAAACTGAGAGAGCTTACTCAATTTGTGTGTCTTTTGTGGGACTGTGAAAAATACAAGCTGAGAGTGCTAGATATACCAAATTCGTAGTATTTTGTAGGCCATGGGTAGGCCTACTTGTAAACGCACCCTGGTCAAATTTTGAGGTTCATGGATTATGCTCAAATAAGTTCACACTAGGTAAAACTGCAGGTTGGTGTCCGTAGTGCCCTCAAACGCCACCATGCAGCCACCTTTAACCTTATATTTTTGAAAGGGAAGTTTACAGACGTTTATTTCATTTTGACTATTTAACTTCCAAAAGATCAATGCGACCAAGCACCTTCAAAATCGTTTTCACATTTGAAATTAAATATGCGTCAATAACTTTGCTAGGTGTCCTACAAACGTATGATCCAACAAACAAGATGTTCGCCCGGCTCATTTTACGTCAGTGACCTCCTTTAGCCTCCATGAAGTCGAAATAAGATATCTCTTACGTCCCCGTGATCCAAAAACTTTACATCAGCGTAAAAAACGCTTAAAGCAGTGCTCTAGTAAAAGCGGTTTGACTTGGACTTCAGTCCGACATTCATACCTGACCCAAGGCCAATAGATTAAGTCGCAATCCCAAACTCAACCGTCATAATGTATTAAAGACTATCCCAAACCTGCATGTCTTCGTTTAATACTCTACTGTCGCATAGGTTGAATGGTTCCCTAGAAATTGCTCTCGCTAACGGCCATGACCTGCCTTCGACCTGCAATAAGTTGGAAAAATTCTAAGGTGGATATAATTTTCACACCGAAAGATCGGTTGTCCAATTGCTTACGTCGATGCAACGTTTGGGGCGGATACACTGCGCCGTTCGAAAATCATTCTGGAAATATTAGCGCTGGTGGTCAAATTGGCCCCCCACCTGAGCGCTTGTTAAAGTTCAACAAATTTGACGATTTGCAGATTAACGCCAATCTGCTGCAAGCAAGGAAATTCATAAAAGCTGCGGACTCCCAAAATCTTGGAAAATCAGCGCCAGATTTACACCCGTTGTCCGAAGCATGATTCCATGTTTTAAACTGAAGCTCGCGGTGCCCGTGTTTTTGGCTTGAGCACCCACCCGAGCTTCTATCGAAGTGTTTAAGCAGCTACCAGAGCCCCTTAGCGAAATGTTTAAGCAGCTACCAGAGCCCCTTAGCGAAATGTTTAAGCAGCTACCAGAGCCCCTAGCGAAATCGGTCATAATGTTGGGCATACAGTTGCTTTTGGTTGAAACGGAGCGGTTGATCCGGCTTAATTGTGCTTTCCTTTATTTGCATACGTGTTGGCTTGTAACAGTTAAGAGCAGGACATAAACAAAAGTGTAAATTTACTCAATGCGTGAACAATCATGCTAACAAACCAAGTCCATAAACACTTCAAGGAAAAGGGATGTGCGCCTTCGGAAAAAACGACTCTTTATTTGGACACTATTGTAAGGAATTGGACGTTTCTGTTTAAAAGAACCATCAGGGACTGGTGACAGCTAGCGCCCGAAATAGTGATGTTTTAATTTAGTACATGTGATTTCGCATTCATACAACCTTTACTTGAGGAGTGAAAGGTCGGTGACCATCACCTGGTGTTCACGGGTGGAGCACTCGTGAGGATCTTCTCAGCATCAGGCAAATGTTTTGTGAATGTGCGCTCACACAACGCGAACACGCCGACAAGGCTACCAGAACTTAATAAAACCTTCCGTCACGTCATCCACATCTTCCCGTCTTTCCGGCAAGCCGTCGCAGTTTCAACAGACCCTTCACGCTGGTCACCCGCGCAGACAAATAAACACGGTTTTAAGAGTCGTTCGCCGCTGTCGTTCTGTCTCGGACCCGGTTGGCCGGCCGCCAGCTGTCCAGCGAATTCCGGTGGGCTGGCAGCCAAGCCACCCCGGCCCGGCCCGCCACACATTCCGACGAGTCGCCCGCACCCGGGCCAGAGGTACGGCCCTCTCCTGCGCCGGCCGCGAGCCGCCTCCGCCCCGGCCTCGGGGCCGAGCGCCAGCGGTGTCGCGACTGGGAAGGCGGCGCGTAGCCTTAACAGATGAGCCCCGCCCCGGTTACTTCGGTTAACCTTTTCGGAAGTATCCCTGTTCATCCAGAGCTTGAGCTCTATGGGCAGGACTTGCAGTAAGTGGAGGTAAGTTCTAGCATTGCGACACGTTAAGTCTCTTCGCGAAATTCTGCCGTTAACCCGAGATTTCACGACCGGATGGCGGAGTCCGTACTCATGTAACAAGCATTGCTTAACGTGGGCGCTGATCCTAGAAATGTACCCATCAAAAGGTCCAGACTACACGTTTAAGAAGTGTTACTCTAGCGGCGTGGCAGCTGCAGAAGCCGGACTGCGGTCCCTGATCAGCTGTGGCCAGTGGGACGCTGCCATTGGGTCCGGATACAGCCGATCCCACGAGGGCAGTCCGGTAGGCAGCTCCACTCCCGTGAATCTGTGGCTTCGCTGCCCTGGATCCACGGCTCTGCTCCCTTAGACCTGCGGCTCTGCTCCCCTGGATCTGCGGCCCCGCTCCCTTGGACCTGAGGCCCCGCTCCCCTGGATCCGCGGTTTCGCTCTCCCTGGACCTGCAGCTCCGCTATCCTGGATCTGCGGCTCCGCTCCCCTGGATCTGCGGCTCCGCTCCCCTGGATCTGCGGCTCCCCTCCCCTGGATCTGCGGCTCTGCTCCCCTGGATCTGCGGCTCCGCTCCCCTGGATCGTGCGGCTCCCCTCCCCTGGATCTGCGGCTCTGCTCCCTGGATCTGCGGCTCCGCTTCCCTGGATCTGCGGCTCCGCTTCCCTGGATCTCTGTTCCTCCGGCGACCTCACACGGGCTTGGACTGAGGCGGGTCGGTGAAATTGGAAAGCCCGGACAGTGGGTACACCGGAAGGCAAACTTGTGCTTGGCTCTGGGAGGGACCGGGTTGGACTTCGTAATCAAACCATCAAGTCAGAGTGGCGTCGATTACTTTTTATTTCCTTTTGAGTCGTAAACGAAACTGAGTTAAAAAAAAACCTCGGTAAATCGACTCAGATAAAAGTTTAAGAAGCATGAATCATATACATCCATAACCTGAAGGCTTGCACAAAAGTGTCACCGAATAAAGCATCACTTACGGCGTGTACGCAAAGGGAACCCGGTCACATAGAGCTATCCAATTATCAAATCAAATGTCCTGTGTAGGCTTTTACGAAGCCCATAGAGAGGGTCAGCTCCTCGGCTGTTGTAACTGGAATCGATTCAATCGGAATCGGTTGCGGGATTCAGTTGCCTCTCCGTGAGTCAGACTGAGAGTCGCACAGGGATAGGCTGCTTTGCTTAGAGTCGGAGTCAAAGCTGATCCAATGGGCTGTGAGTCGGACTCGGAGTCGATTACCGTGAAGCGGAGCCCAGCACGGGTCGGCAGGCAGCGACGGTGTTTATTCTGGAGCATGATGCAGAGACCAGGGCATTACTTAATTTAGAAGCTGCCGTCAACATGAAGCTACTGGCCATTTGAAAATAAGCTGGCTATTAAATCTGGTTTTTAGAAAAGATTACGATGAAACAGCGTGACCTCCAAACTTAAAGGCGGTCTAGCCGTATCCACGATGAAACAGAACGCAACCTTATTCGCTCTCGAGGTGGCTGAGTCTAACACTACGAAGCCATGGATGTGGGCGAAGAGCTGCAGTATTATCTCTACCGCTAACTCCTCACCTACAGCATGACTTGCACCTTCGCATCCGGCTCAGACCGTCGCAAATATCATCATCCCTCAGTGCCACGGCAGCGGGGCAGACGCGGCTGCCGACGAGGCGGCGCAGGCGTGCGTCTGCCTCGCCCCTGGCCCGCCGGCGTGCCAGCAGACCCGGCGCGTATGACTCAGTGCCATTGTCCGTGCCAAGCGGCGGGGCTGGCCGCCGCACCGCCGCCGCCCTGGGCCCGCGAACCAATAACGGCCGGGGTGTCGACGCGGGCCGGCGGCGGTGACAGGTGCGGCTATGTTGCCGGTCGGCCTGTCGGCGCCCGGACCGCACCCGGCCGCCCGCGCCGGTCCCGGACTCTCTCGGCGTTCGTCCGGTCCGGGGAGGCCGCGGCACCGAGACGTCCTGACCTCGTAGGTCGAGGTGGTCCGTAGAGGTGCGCCAACGTGCACAGTGAAGGGATGGTCTCGGCAATTCAGTCCGGTTCGCGCGCCGGTTTCGCTTTACGTAAGTGAATGAGATACGAGAAAGCTGGATGCATTTTTATGATGCAAGTACATGGGACTTTTGTGACTTTTCAACCACCAGGTCACCCAAGATAGCTGTCCCCTCGCTATATCCTAATAGAAGCCACTGTTGTACTTGAGAAACATCCCACAAGTCTTTCAAGCTAAAGTGGAACATCTATTGCGTGACGTTCTCATGAAGTCTAAAGGTCCGTTTCAATGAAAGTGTGGTATTGCGTACATTTGGCATTGTTTTGCGTTAGTTTCCTTGAAGTTTGCGTTCACTTCACCTCGTTGCCACTCACCAGGCACACATGATCACACTTCTTAGCCGCGTTACGTCAAGCTGTGGGCGACACTCACCCTGCGGTCGGTCGCGGTCGTAGGCGTTAGTGCACTCGGAGGTCATGAACTGGTCAACGAGGGCCGTCTTCCCGACGCCCGTGGCGCCCACCAGAGCCACCGAGAACGAGCTGACGGGCTGTGGCGGGCTCTCGAGCGCCGCTGCGGCCGGCGCGGCGGCGGACGTGGAGGCGGTGGCGGCGGTGGCGGCGGCGGCGGCGGCGGGTGCCGCGCCGCTCTGCACCGAGCCCCCGCTCTGCACGCTGGAGCGACGCACCCGGAAGGAGTCGCCTCTGTTGACGATCCCTGCCGGCGGCGAGAGTGGCTGTCGGTACTGCGAGCATGGGTGTGACCGTCCAGAAGCGACGGCCGGGAGGTGGGGCCGTTCAGCCGGAGGGGGCAATACGGAGCGGAGACACACACTGAGAATGACACAGTGATAATGAAGGCGGGCGGCACACCAAAGCCAGCTGCGGAAACAGCGACAGGCAGTCGGTGGCATCACTGAACAGCGCAAGACGGCTAGTCGGGTCTGTGGAAGGCTCAGACGTTTGAAGAGCAGTGCCGGGCTATATTCGTAACAAACGCTAGGACGGGTGACGTCTTGACGTTAACGACCTAAATAATAGAGCAGAGTGAGACGAGCTGAATATTGGGACGGAGAGCCGGCACGGAACGCCACAACTTCACGCTAATTGGGAGAGAACCGTTTGTTTCGACCGAAGCCCACCTCTGCCAATTCCAAACACCAATCACGACGGTTGGTTCCCTCAGCTGGCTGATGTCGCGAATGGCCCCAAACCTTTGCAAAAGCCACGCTGGACCCCCCGGTCAATCGAAGACTCCCGCGTGATGTCACAGTCATTCGCTGCCGCCGCCTGCACTAGATCTATCTAACGACCGTTCGAAGCTTGATCCACTGCGGTGGCCGGCCGACTCGCCGGCCCTCCTGCCCCGCTGAGCCCCGCTCGAAGCTTGATCCACTGCGGTGGCCGGCCGACTCGCTGGCCCTCCTGCCCCGCTGAGCCCCGCTCGGGGCTTGATCCACCGCGCTGGCCGGCTGACCCGCCGGCCCTGCTGCGCCGCTGAGCCCCGCTCGGGGCTTGATCCACCGCGCTGGCCGGCTGGCTCGCCGGCCCTCCTGCCCCGCTGAGCCCCGTTCGGGGCTTGATCCATCGCGCTGACCGGCTGGCTCGCCGGCCCTCCTGCGTCGCTGAGGCTCGCTCTGGGCTTGATCCATCGCGCTGGCCAGCTGACCCGCCGGCCCTCCTGCGCCGCTGAGCTCGCGGACGCTATCATCTGACCTTTCGAGCGCCGCCTGCTATCGACGGACACCCTGCGCCGGCCAGGGATACCACTCGAGGCTCACCTACGCCACCGACGCCAATATTGCGTGCCGTTGTTCGGCTGTCGGCGGCTGTCTGACCCACGGAGCCCGCCATCTCCACCAATCACCTCCCCCTCCCCCTCCCCCTTCCCATCCCCCGTACAGGGGCCGGCCGACGGGGCCGAGATCTAAAGTCGAGTATTGATCAGTCACGGCATACGGCGAGCCAGAGGACTTCGGAAGGTGCCGCCGTCGTACGCGGCGACGAATTTACAGCCGCTGTGCGACGGACAACGGGGCGTCGACAGTATGAAGACACGCGCGATGTCGGCAGTGATGGAGTACTGCACGAGGCCGCCCAGACTGTACTGGCTGATGGCTTAACACGAGTGCTCCATCGCCAGGGTATTGCCGCTGCTGGCAACACCACGTACGTCCGCAGTGTCTGGTAATGGCGAGTCTTTCACAAACTGAGTTCATTCCCGTGCCGTGCCGTGGGGCTTCAGCCGGTGAATGGAGATGCCACATGGTGTTGAAATCGTGCTTTCAGTAATGCTTCTTCTTGCCAGGCCCCACTTCTTTCGGGGTACCGAAAGACAACGCCATGCTAGTCAATCGTGACACGGAGAACATGTCGGGAGCCGCGCGTCGACTCATTCTATAAGCAATAACGTATATGGCCTCGGTCCAATCGCAGGTAAGTGATGACCGAAAATCCCAGGGGCTGAGCAAGTGCACTCGCTCCCTTCCGAACCGCTGTGTTGTCATGCGCATCCCAGCAATCTATCTCAAATGGGCGTGCCTGGCCAAACAAATAACAAACCCCGGGGCCAAACGGACCAAACACCCCCGCAACAGCCTTGGTGGGACACGTTCTCACCAACTTCTGAAAGTGCTCCGTTGTCAACCGGAGACGATGACCCTGCTGCCACGGTGTGCCCATGGAAAACGGTCTCCATAGGCAGCTGGCCATTGTTTACTATCCGTGCTTGTGAGGAGGGGTGTTTGAATTTAAGTGTTCCGCTTTTGCACCAGCTCACCCATCATCTCATTTCATATGGCATCAAGTTCACGAACAGAAACACCAGCAACGGCGCCTATTTTGCGTCATGATAACAGGCGGGGATATGTACACGTATGTCCGACGGGATGAGCCACAGCAGATTCGATATATCTGAAACATTATTATTGATTCGAAACAATGCTGGCTATTCCGCAAATAGCATCAACACGTATGTTAAATGCGCGTAATGTGTACCAATTTGGAAGCAAATCCAGCGCTATCACGATGCGCATCACAGCGCAGACTTACAACGTGTCGCAGAGGTATACTGAGATGTAGACAAGCAGGGCTATAGGAACTTTATGCATATATATATATATATATATATATATATGCATGCATGCGTGCGTGCCTGTGTGCGTGCGTGTGTACGTGCGTGTGTGCGTACGTACGTGCGTGCGTCGTATAAACTTTGCGCTGCAATTTGAGTATACAAGGTGAAATAGAGGGTAAATGTGCATCGTAAATCCGTTCAGAAGTTGTCGGTGAGGTACTTGTAAGCAGAGGCGTAGCCAAAATTTTCTAAGGGGGACGGAGGGGGGGGGGGGTATGAGAATACGTGACGCCGATACTCAGGCATGTCTCGGGAATCATCTGCGGTGGAAACCAAATATGAAAAATGCGGACCTACGAGGTGACCAGGCCGCGTCCCTGCACGTTAGGGCCTCATACCTTGTCACATGGTTGCGCCTTTGAGACGGAAGGACATTGCGGTTGCGTGTTAAGATTGTGCGTCAGGCATAAGTCGTAACTAAGCTTGAATTCAGGTCAGCGCCTTGGCTCTCACTCGGGTCAATGTTTCGCCTCAGGTCTCAGGTTCAATTCAAAAGTCGCAGTTCGGATTCAGGTCAAGGTCTTGGCTCGAGCTCAGATCAAGATTCTGGCGCAGGCTTGATTCAAATTCGCGGATCGGATTCAGGTCAAGGCCTCAACTTGGACCCAGGTCAAGGTCACGAACTGGACCAAATCTCACGTCCTCCTGACAGTTACCTCCCGCGTCACAGGAGTTCTCCCAGACGGCACGTTATCGGCTGTTGGTTTTCCTTGGCGCCGGCCGCGCCGACAAACACATGCTGTAAGGTCAGTTGGCAGCTGTATGCCTGACGTCGGCCGCTACAGTGGCGTCACCTGCGCTGGTGCGGCCGGCGGCGGCGTCCCGCCGGGGCCGGCGTCTGGGATCCCGCCGAGGCCGGCCGGTGGCTGGGGTCTGCGCCGGGGCCGGCGGCTGGGGGTCCCGCCGGGGCCAGCGGCTGGGGCCCGCGCCGGGGCCGGCCGGTGGCTGGGGTCCGCGCCAGGGCCGGCGAATGGAGCTCCGCTGGGGCAGGCCGGCCGAGGTCTCGATCCGTTTCATGGTGTCACGGCGCCTGGCTTTGTAGTTACCACCCGGGTCTCGGATGACGCGGCCGCTCAGGATGGTTAAGCGGTGCATGTGTAGCACAGTGATGTAACGAGGATCGCACGTCATAGACGTGCGAGTAATGACGCGTACCTTGGTGACCAACCGTTCTCATGATAAATTGACTGCCCTAAGTTTGTGCTGCTACAGCTATATGAAATAAGATATTAAAGCCGCACAGCTCGAAAAAGCCATTCTATTAGTTGAGCCCGCAGAAAAGACAACTTGCACCCACAGACTACCTTCGACGCGCCTGGTGATGAACACACCTCTAACACCGACTGTTGTCGGTTTTAGTCAGGGGTTTCTGTTAGTGCATTGCCTTCCAAAGATTCTTGCCACTAATGAGCACACACTATCATGATTGGTAGCTTTGTGGCGCTGTTTTCGGGTTGGCGGCACACTTCTCTTTATCATTGATGCATCAATCACAGGAAGTGTTTCGGGTTTTCCCAAATAAACTACGCCGTAGCTCAGGGCATTACAACGTGGCTGTGGAAGTCCAAGAGAACTAAATATTGTGCTCAGCGTTGCTTTATTTGCTCACAGCAATGACAACAACTTGGGGAGTTATTGGCGACAGGCTCCCTCTGTTGAATTGGCTTTTCGTCTCTCTCATTTGCCCTTTAAATGCAAACGAACTTTGTTAACAGAAGGACGCCTTTTGCAACGCGGAATGGCGAGCCAGGCTACAATAGACGCGATTTTTAGCGCTATGTAGAGGATACCAAACCGTAAGCGAATGGAGCCTGTCGAATTTGAGAATCCATACGGACAAGGATTTCCAGTTTATCGCAGTATCCGCATTGCGTAAATCTGGTAGACGGATGTGCACTGATGTGTGGTCTTCCGCAAATTTTACGAATGACGTTGATCAAGCGTCGGGCTGCTTCGGATCGGCCAGTGCCCGACAATATTGATCAGTGAGGTGAATGAATCTGAATAAGTTTACGTTGTTGGTAGCTACCGAGAAAGCGTTGGAATAAATAGTATTGTTTGAAGCAGATAGGTGTATATGTATATATATATATATATATATATATATATATATATATATATATATATATATATATAGCACAGCACGCCTCGTCAGTTGCGCTATGCGCCAGGGAAGTTTTTATGTCCCGATCTGCTTCGGCTTAGGCCATAACGAGTTTTATTTGATTCCGTTTTCCAAAAAAGGGGACACTGGCCGTCTCCCGGTGTTTGGCTGACGCCAGGATTTTTGCATCGGGCAGTGCTGAGGCAGATCGCCTTGTGATTCGCGGGCGTGAGTTTGCTTACATCGCATATCAGATGTCATGCACCTACCGGGCACTGAAATCTGCCAGTTCTCCTGACAAACATCCGAGGACGGTTTGCACTTAGTTTTGTGTGCCGATCCCCACACGTCGACCCACAGTGCTGCCAGCGCAGTTGTCCTATTCCTCTTCAGTCAGTAAAAATTGCCTCCTGCTGCTGTGCCGCTTTGTCACCAAGGTTTGGGCTTGTTTCCGCCTGCACTTTTTCAGTCTGTTCCG